ATAAACTCCAAAAGAATATATGATCTAAATATAAAAAGGGTGTAATGTTTAAATAAAGGAGAATGAAAGGCAGTACCTTGTAATTTCTTAAGAGGTAATCATAAAAGATAGAATAAGCAATATCAGTCACAGAAAACTTTAAAAACTTTTATATTAATGGAATCAGTAGTTAGAATAGGAAAAGCTTGACTGGTAAAAAAAAATCAAATTGGCAAAAACGATAAATGATGGAAAGAGTAAATATTGAAGGATCCTATGGGGAGACATCTAGTTATGCTGCTGGTAGAATGTGAATTGGAAAACAATTAGGAATTATTCAGGCACTTAATGATCCCTCAATAAATGGTTTTTCATTTATTTAATTCATGTCCCAAGGAAGTCAAAGACAAAGATTTCATACATAATAAAATGTTCATAGCAACACTCTATGTGGAAACAAAGCATTGTTTGGGAAATGTATAAATGTAATTGAATATTATTTTGACTTGTGAAGTGGTAAATATGAGGACATAGAGAAACGAGGGAAAACATGGAGAATTATTTAGCAGGGAGGGAATAAACATTATTAAGCATCTGCTATGTACCAGGTACTATGCTAAGCACCTTGAAAATACTATTTTATCTTCAAAATAACCTGTAAGATGGGTGCTATTTTTACAGTTGAGGAAACTGAATCAAACAGAAGTTAAGTGAGTTGCCCAGGATCACACAGCTAAGAACGGTTGAACTTGGTTCTTCCTGACATCAGACCCAGTGCTCTGTCTAGTGCACCACCTAGCTGCCTGGAGTGAAAAAAGAGTTTAGGGGAATCAATGTACAAAACGATATTGGACATGAAAACAGCACTAAGAGGCTGGTAATCTCAGGTTAATTCCAGTAAACAACCTTGGTCCCAGAGAACAGAATAAAACATTCCTTTTCCATCAGAAAAGAGGTGTGAGGTACGAAAACTGTGAAATTTCATTTGGTATGTGGTTTGAAATGGTTTTATCAGGATTTTTTAAAATAATTTTTTATTGATATTTTCTTTTTCTTTTTTTTCTTAGGCAGTGGGGTTAAGTGACTTGCCCAAGGTCACACAGTTAGTAAGTGTTATGTGTGTGAGGCCAGATTGGAACTCAGATCCTCTTCACTCCAAGGCCAGAGCTCTATCCACTGCGCCATCTAGCTGCCCCTTTTTAATAGTTTTGCTTAATTGATTTTCTCTGTTAAGTGGGAGAATTCAGTAGAACTGGGGAGTGTATCAAGAAGTGACAGATGTTTTTAAAAAAGGAACATTAATAAAAATAAACCACATCCCTGCTATGCCCTCAAACTATCCTACATCTTTCCCTTCAATTCCATGTTAATTTGATAAAGGCTTTAATGAACCAAGCATTGTCTTATGGGCTAGAGATACAAAGAAAAACAATAAACAGTTCCTTGCCTCAAGGAACTTAAATTCTGCCTTTCTTTGGCCATCTTCCTAAAAAGGATCATCTCTTGCTGCCTCTACTTCCCATTCTTGAGTTTGACTCCTGAAACTGCTTTCTCCAATATTATGAAAGATCTCAATTTTGACTTTTTCTTTTCTTTTTTTTGGCTAGGCAGTGGGGTTAAGTGACTTACCCAAGGTGACACAGCTAGTAAGTGTTATGTATCTGAGGGCAGATTTGAACTCAGGTCCTCCTGAATCCAGGGCCGGTGCTCTATCCACTGCGCCACCTAGCTGCCCCAATTTTGACTTTTTCTAAGTACTCTTTCTCTTCCTTTTTGCAGCTTTTGACACTGTGGTCCTTCACCTCCTTTGAATATTCTTTTCTTGAGTTTTTGTGATATTCTCTGTTAGCTGTCAGGACCCAAGTCTCAGTGAGCGCAAAAGGATGATGTGAGAAAGGAAAAAGCTTAAGGTGAAAGCAAGTTTGTTATCTGTGGAACGGACATTTTAGAGAAGCACAGTGGAGAAGGGATAAGTTAGAGTGAGATTTTGGGGGGCTGAAAGAGTGTTGGGTTGAGGAGGATGGGAATGAGGAAGTCGGCAGTGGGGAATGGAATTTGTACAGTGACTTAGGGAGTTTAGGATCACTGGGACAAGGAGGGCATGAGGTTGTTGTTATGTTCCTTGGGGGTCTAGGCAGCCAGTATGGAGATTGTGCAAGCCAACAAGAACATTTCCTTTAGGGCTGACCCAAAATCCTATCTGTTACTAAAAGCAGATTTCCCCTTATTGCGAATGTCTTCTATCTGCATTTGTTCCCCACCTTATTTTTTTTTAAGTTTTCAACATTTTTTAACCTTTTCAAATTTTTATTTTCATATAAGTTTTATAATGTATATCATTAATAGTATACTTATATGACTCAAATGTCTATGTGTATGTGCATATATATACATACATACATATATGTATATATGGGGGAGACTCTAAAAGTTTTTTAATTTATTTTTAGTTTTCAACATACACTGCCGTAAGATTTTGAGTTCCAAATTTTCTTCCTCTCTCCCCTCCCCAAGATGGCATGTAATCTGATACAGGCTCTACCTGTACATTCATATTAAACATTTTTACATTAGTCATTCAACATTCATTTTTTATAGGAGTTTTGAGTTCTAAATTTTTCTCCGTACCTTGTCACCAAGAGGGCAAGCAGTCTGATATAGGTTATACATGTGCAATCATGTTAAACATATTTCCACATTAGTCATGTTGTGAAAGAAGAAACAGAACAAAAATAAAAAAAAAAGTGAAAATACTATCTGCATTTGTTTTTGAGATTTCTTTCTTGAACACATTATTTTTGTAAGAGTGCCACATACACCTGAGAAATATATACTCCTTTCCATTTTCATTCAGTAATTGTCAGATGTGTATCATGTCTGATTCTTCTAAAATTTTATTCAGGTCCTTAATGTGTTTCTTGCTTTTTTATTAATTAGATTTATCTAGAGGTGATAGTGGTAAATGGAGGTCCCTTACTGTTGTAGTTTTACTATTTCTCCTTGTAGTTCATTTAGCTTTTCCTTTATGTAGTTAGAATCTATGCCAATTGGAAAGTATATGTTAAGTATTGAAATTAATTCATTGTCAATGTTACCTTCAGGAAAATACAGTTTCCCTCTTTTTTCCTTTTAATTAAGTTTATTTTCACTGTTGCTTCATCTGGGGAGATGTCGTCTTATATACTTTCTTGGGGCCAAGTTTCTATATTGTAATTTCACAGCATTGAGTTTCATTTATTTTGTTGTCCTTTCTACAGCAGTGGAAATGTTTTTCTTGTCCTACTTACTTAACTTTGCATTTTTTCATATGTCTTTCTATTCTTTGTATTCATCATGTTCATTACAGTATAGTAATACCTTGTTGCATTCATGTACCACAATTGAGACATTTCCCAATGGGCATTTACTTCATGTCCAGTTCTTTACTACCAGAAAAGGTATTACTATAATTTAATTTTGGTGTACATAGTGCCTGTCTTTCTGTCATTCGCACATTCTTGTGGTATAAGCCTAGCAGTGGCAACTCTTGAGTCAAAGGAATGGACATTTGCATAATTATTGATTGCTTTTGAGTATGATTGTATCAGTTCACAACTCCACCAACAATCCCTCCAATATGACTTACTCCTATACTTTTTTCATTTTTGCCCTCAGGGTTTTTTTGATTTGCATTTCTTTTACTATTCGTGATTTGTAGCATTCTTTCATATGGTAGCTAATAGTTTTCAGTTCTTTTGAGAACTGTTTTCATATCCTTGGACCACTTGTCTTCTAAGTGATTTTTGGTCTTTTATATTTTTATTGATTGTCTTTGCATCTTGGATACCAAACCCTTCTTTATTAGAAATATATGATTTCCCCCTTCCCATTCTACCATTTCCCTTCTTATCCTAAGCATATTATTTTATTTGTCTAAAAAAAAAGGTTTTCAAATTAATCCATTCAAAATTATCTATTTTATCTTTTGCAGTTGTCTTTATTCTTCAGTTAAGAATTTTATCCTCTACAAGCTGTGGGAAAATATATGATCTGCTTTTTGTGTTTGGTTACTGACTTTAACTCTCTATAGTTAATGAATTGCTGATCCCTGTGATGTTTATTTTCACAGCTTTTCTTTCTGTTACCACCTTTATATCTGCTGGACAAAATCTATCTTCAGGTCCTTATCACTTTTCATCTAGGTTATTTTAGGACCGTACTAATTGGTAGTTTTTCAGTCTTTCTCATTATCACATAACTAGCTACTATAATATTTTATGAAGACACAGAATGATCATATTGCTTCCTCCAGTTGCTAGTGCTATCTCCATCTTCAAATTATCTTCTTTACATGTGGAAGATAGATACTTTTTTGTCTTTGTATCCTCAGTACCTGACAGAGCCTTATTTAATATAAAGGGTATTTAATAAGTGATTGTTGAGTTAACAATCTTGTTATATAATAATATGCTATGTGTATTTAGGTTATGAATGAAGAAAAAAAGCGTTCCTGGGGGAAAATTGGAACAAACTGCCTCTGTAAATGAGTCAGTCATTAAAGTGCCTTAAAGTGCTATCTGCTCTTAATTATTACATTACCTTCATTTTCAGAGTACTGAGTCAGTAATAGCAAAGCCATTGTCTTTCTGTATGTCTTCCAGCTTCTTCCTTTCATTCTTTTGAATTTTTCATTGAAACAGACACAGGGAATGAACTCTCACATTTTCAAAATAAAACTGAAAAGTGTTTTGGAGGAGTGATTTCTTTGAATATGTTAATACGTTAACAACTGTCATTATTGTAGAGTTGATATAAATGTATAAATTGAATTTGTATCCCAAATTTAGTTTGTATTACACACATATGTTTAATAAATGTTTGAATAATGAATGTTACTATAGTAATATTACTATATTACTGTATAGTTGCTATAGTTAGTATGCTATGGTTACTCTGGTATATGAATATTTATATCACTTGTTAACTTTATGAAATCATTTCATATTGCCTAATATTATTCTTTTGAATTTATTTTCCATTAGGTTTATCTCTAACAAGTACTTAGTGAAGCGACAGAGCAGGGACTATGATGTAGAATGGGGATATGCCTTTGACGTTCATTTGAATGCTTTCTATCCACTACTAGTCATTTTGCATTTTATCCAGCTTTTTTTCATTAACTGTAAGTAGCAAATCAGTTTCAAAATGGTATTGTTATCTTCATTGTACATAATAGTAAAGTTTTTTTTCTTTTCTTACAGATGTTATCATGACAGATACATTTATTGGCTACTTTGTCGGAAATACATTATGGTTGATTGCAGTTGGTTATTATATCTATGTAACATTCCTAGGATACAGTGGTAAGTATAACCAAGAATTGAAATTTATTAAAGACATCTAATGTTAGAAAACAAGGAAATAAATTATATAATTTATTTATTGTCTTCCAACATTCATAGCTTTACAGATTACTTGCAATAGCTTTATGGCCTTTTTCTCACCCAACTCTTCAGCCAGATGTAGTTATTTAGCTGAAGCCACACATATATTCAGCTGCTTTTAATTCACTCCTATTAAATTCTGTATTTCTTAATTCAACACATGTCTATTTAGCATATAATAAATAATGATTCCCTAAGGACACTAAGTCCCTTACTATAAGTTTATCTTGGGAAACAAAAAAAGAGAGAGAAGGGGGCAGCTAGGTGGCGCAGTGGGTAGAGCACTGGCCCTGGATTCAGGAGGACCTGAGTTCAAATCTGCCCTCAGACACATAATACTTACTGGCTGTGTGACCCTGGGCAAGTCACTTAACCCTAGTGCCTAGCCAAAAAAAAGAGAGAGAGAGAGAAACCCTAAAACCAATTGGTATTTTTATGCGGAGGGCTGTTTTGGGAGATGAAATTACTAGCCATTGTACCAATATCCTGGGTGTGTGTTTGGAATTTTTGTTTGCCAAAGCCTTGAGAGGCAGAGGTTGGTGTTTTTTTTTTTGGGGGGGGGGAATGTTGCTTTTCTTCAAAAACTGTAAACTTTATATATTAAAAACACCAAGAGAAAAATAGCTGGAATTTGTTTGGAAGCTACTGCATATCTAACTACTTGAGCTAAGCTATGGTCTGAATTAGTTTCTTGGCTGATTTTTTGGGGATTTCTGGGTGAATCAATATGTCAGAAAATAGGAATAATTTTGGTTCTTTATGCCTTTAATGGTATCAGTGGCATTTTTTTTTTTTTGGCTAGGCAATGGAGTTAAGTGACTTGCCCAGGGTCATACAGCTAGAAAGTGTTATATGTCTGAGGCTGGATTTGAAGTCAGGTCCTCCTGAATCCAAGGCCAGTGCTCTATTCACTGCGCCACCTAGCTGCCCCATGAGTAGCATTTTTAGAACTTTGTCAACTAACAGTGGTAGAAAGGAGCATCCTTACTTCAATCCTGGATTTATGGGTAAAGCTGCTGATGTTTCCCCACTGCAAATAATGCTAGATTTGGGCCCTTAATATATTCTTTGTCTTTAAAAATGGCCATTCTGTACCTAGGCTTTATAGGTATTGTTAGAATTTGTATTTGTTAGTGTTCTAATTTTTACCTCAAGTTTAGTGCAAGTGTCTCTGCCTTATAACCACAGTTGCATTTTGAAACATCTCCATTTTTTGGTACTTGGAGGATATTTACTTATAAAGCAGTATGTTTTTGTAAATTCTTAACCGGCTTGGCATGTTTTATATTCACTAACTGTTCTGAAAAAATCTTTTTTTTTCTTTGCTCTAACTTCCTCTTAACTAATCTCAGTACTCTTTAATTGCTGTCAGAACTATAGCCACAGACAAATTTGAGTTTCAAGGTATACATTAGGGCAGTCCTTGCTTTATGGATCAAGATAAACACTGTGCTAAATGCTAAGGAAACAAATAGAAAAAGATAGTCCCTGAACTCAAGGAGCTCTTGTATAATGGGAAGCGCTAACTCATAGGAGGAGGAAACGGGCTGCAGGATAGGCAGAAACGTCTACAAGTCCTAAGGATTCAAAGGCAGATCTGATGACCAGCCCAGGAGTCCTTATATATGCTGCATGGCAATGACCCTGGTGGGGGACTCACTCACCACCACAGGGGAGCTGGGGAATGAGATGGAGACTTGGGATTCTCTCTGTCAGAGGTGGAGCTGGTGGTGGAGACGTCATTGTCAAGCCAGGAAACTTTTTATATAAAAGTATGAAATTTAGTAGGTAGTGCTGATACACCCTCTTCTCTTCCCCTCCCCCTTGTATTTATTTGCCCCCTTCTATAATATTTTCTGGGTATTTTAAAGTAATGATATTTTCTATTTTTGAATCAGTATCTCAACTCCCAACATACATCTCCCACTAACTTTCTCCCTTGGAATAAAAGCCTTCCCTTGAAATTTCAAGTATAGTTCAGCAAAACTTGTGAGTACACATTGGTCGTGCCTGAAAATGTATGTGTCAGGTACATCTATAGTCAGTCACCTTGCTTGAAGAAGTACGCTTTTTTAATCTTATGGAATCGTGACTGGTCACTGCATTCAACAGAGTTCTTGAGTCTTTCAATATGCCATAATATATGCGGCCATTCCCTGATTATAGGGTACCTACTTTGTTTCTAATTCTTTACTACTACTTAAATACTGCCATAAATATTTTTGTACATATGAGGCTTTTCCTTTCTTAGATTTCTTTGTGGTATATTATTAGTAGTGGTATTTCTGGGCCAAAAGAGTATAAGGCAGAAACTCAGGAGAGTGTTTTTAATTTGCATTTTTCTTATTCATGATTTGGAACCTTTTTTTCATATGGTTGTTAGCAAAATACTGATTATTTTTGCACAACCCAAATTTCAAGATTTGTAATTAGGAATTAATATTTTGTTTAGTTTTTTATTCATCTGGATTTGTTTCCTTGCTTTCCAGCACTGCCGTTTTTGAAAAACACGGTGATTCTTTTGTATCCCTTTGCACCTCTCATTCTGCTCTACGGATTGTCGTTAGCACTGGGATGGAACTTCACTCACACACTGTGCTCTTTCTACAAGTATAGAGTGAAATAAAAAATGTAACTACTAGCTGTCAACAGTATTGTTAAGGTGGCTGAGTTTTCTTGTAAAAAGTGTAAATAAATTTTAATTGTAGATATCTTTAAAAATGTAAAATTTTTGTGAATTTTTGGAAATATTTACAACTTCATGTTGATTTCACAGTACATTCTTTAAAACCATGAAATGTACATTTGTGTAATAAATATTTTTAAACCAAAGCGTAAGCCTTTTCAGTTTTGACTAAGCAGTAATTTTAAGTGGTTTTTTTTTTTGGAAGCATTTTGATTTTTACCCTTGCTTAACAGTAATCTCCATACTTCAGAATTTCAAGGATCCTTAATTTTATTGGTGATCTCTATCACAGAGTGCACAACTCTGCCTTAATAGGCACTGGGATCAAAATCTTTTAATAACCTAGTGGCTTAACCCTTGGTTTTGAGCCTTATAAATGTAGCGATCTAGACCAGCCCATGAGAAACATTATTTTACTTGTTTACTTCAAGTCTTTTTAGCTTAAGAAAGGCAGGTTAAGACTTGCCAGAACTTGTACTCTGCTGGTCTGGCCTTCCAGGACCCGGTTACCAGCTACGAGGCATTAAAATAGGCACATAGGTGTCATTATCAGTAGAAGCCAAATATTATTTCATTAGGAGTTGGTGCTTTCTAACGAATGCAGCTAAGCCCAGTAACACTTAACCAACAGCTTTGAAATGGTCCTCCTAGCTCTGGCAGTTTGGGTGATATTTCAGATCATTTTTTTGTATACCAGGGTAAAATACCTACCTTGAATACTTTAGAATGTTTAAATTTTAAAAGTATTGATTGTCATAGCAATAATTCATTATTCTTTTTTCTGTCTAGTAAGGTGGTTAATTCATTTCAGCAAGGTAATCAGCTTTTTTAAAGTCAAGAAGCCTTTTCCAAGCTCTGCCACTTACCATGTGACCTTGGGCAAGTTATTTAACCTCTGTGCCTCAGCTTTCTCTTCTGTAAAATAAGAGGGTTGAACTTCTTTGAGGAATCGTGAAGAATAGGAAACGTACATGGGAAATGAGGACAGGTAAATGTCTTGATTTTCAAAAGGGGAACAAAAGTAGATTCTTCAAAGTATTTGGTGATGAACATGAATTTGATTCCTGGTAAAATTCTCAGATAACTTACTGTCAAAGAATGGTTAGTAAGCACATTACAGAAGGGGGTAATCATTATGAGGCAGCATTATTTCATTAACTGCATATGCTGCTAGACTCTTTTGCCGGTATTACTAGACCGATAGGTCAGAGTAAGAAATGGTGTTGTAATATCTGAATTTTAGCCATTTTTTTCCTTAACAAAGTCCCACATGGACAGTATACTTGTGGACAAGATGGAGAGATATGGGCAATAGCTGATAATTGTGCACTAGCAGGACACAATTTAGAGCTTAATTGGAAAAACTGACCCAAACAGTAGTCAAACTGTAATGAATTCATTGTCATCCTGGCTGGAGGTCTCTAGTATAGTCATAGGGATTTGTGTGTTTAGTATTTTTATCAGTGTTTTCAATAAACATCAAGTGTCTACTATTTGCAAGGTAGGATAGAGACTAGGAATACAAAAAAGATCATAGATTTAAGAGTTGGAAGGGACCTTTCAAGACCATGGAGTCTAACAGACTTCAATTGACAGATGAGGAAAACAGGCTCAGCAAGATCAAGTGGCTTGCCCTTGGCTATAGAGTTAGTCAGGGTCTGAGGTGGGATTTAAAAACGAGGTTTTCCATGCTTTCATCGTCCCCATTCTAAAGGAGTTCAGAAATATACAAAGCAGTTGGAGCTAAGAGCAAAGAATGGATTTTAACAAAGTAATCTTGGAAAATTTAAGGAAGGAAAGAACATTTGGTGGCATACATATCAAATACACAAACAACACAAAACTAGGAGGCACAGCCAATGTGTCGGAAGACAGAATTGGGTTCCAAAAACATTGCCTTTTTTTGTTTTCCTACAAAGCAGCTGTTACCCAAATTCACATTCCCTCCTACCTCTTGCTTGGACTATTGTTACAAGGTCTTCCTGCCACCATTCTCTCTAATTTATCTCGACCTGCACAAATATCTAAGGCACAGAACTGATCATGTCATTTCCCTGCTCAAAAACTTTTAGTGGTGCTCTATCATCTCTAGAATAAAATGCAAACTCCTTAGCCTGGAGTTCAGAGCCTATCAGAGTCTTGCTTCCGTCTAGCTGTTCCACACTACTTGCCGTTCATGTACTTATATGAACCAGCCAAAGGGGATTACTCACTGTTCTCCAATTTAGCATATAATTTCCTACCAATGTATATTAGTATAGGTTGTTCCTCCTTCCTCATCTCAAGGAGCAGTTCAGGCACCCCCTCCCGAGGCTATGCCTAGTACCCCCACATTTTACTTCTCTCTCACCTCCAATTGCTTAGAGCTTTGCGGCTGACTTCTCTTTTGACACCCTCATTTCCTATTGTTAGGATTAACCTCTTGGAAGGAAAGGATGAATTGGTTTTTATTTATATCCCTAGTACTTAGCATTGTGCCTTGTAAATGGCTAGTTACTATTTGGGTTGACTTGAATATTAACAAATCGAACAGTTGAGTTTTTAAAAATCAATTCTAGGATAAAGATGTGGCTAGACAGTGACTCCTGAGAAAAAGACTGGGGATTTTGGTGAACTACTCAATAGGAGTTAATTGTTCTTTGGCAGCCAAAACAACTAATGCATTTTTAGCTCCTTTTATTTAATAGATATGTACTGTCTGGAATTTGGGGAAGAGAGAGAGAAGTATGGATGGGATTAATAATTAAAATAGGGATTGGATTTGTGGTCTTGGTGTCTTCTAGTTCTGAATCTGTGATTCTTGCTGTCAGACCACTTACTGAGGATGGTAACTAGATATGGATACAACATTTTAGAAAGGACTTTTATATGCTATAGTGCATGTTGGAAGGAGTGGAGACTGCTGTGGGAGAACTGAAGGAACCTATGGTGTTTAACCTGGAACAGAGAAAATTCAATGGGGGACATGATGGCCATTTTCACATCAGGTCAAAAGGACCTGTCATCTAGTATAACCCTAACCAAATCCAGAATCCTAGCTACATCTACCTCATTTTATACACTGCATTTAATTAATGAATTTTATGATTACATTATCTGTTTTGGGCTCCATATCTCTATTTGTAGCCTACTAAAACCCTCCAGGTCTTTATTTGACATGTTATATGTGTTATATCTGATTCTGCTTATGGGCAAAACTGTTAACTTCCACCAGTAATGGCCATCATCAAGTCATCTGGTTCAGGATTGAATGACCTGGAAGTTCAGATGGAATATGATTTCTGAAATGAGAATAGACAAAAAATATGTGTAACCTATTGAAATGGAAACAGGCTTCAGGAGCAACAGGACTAGAGATTATAGAGAACATAAATTCATTTACCATATATGAGCAGTGAGGTAGAGAATGGTAAGAGTGCTAGGCTCAGAGTCAGGAAAACCTGCCTTCACATCCTTCCTCAGACCCTTAGTAGTTTTGTGACCTTGGGCAAGACACTTAACCTCAGTTTACTCAGCTGCAAAATGGGGATAATCAAACCTTCTTTATAGAGTATAATGACATTGAAAGATGTTTAAAGCACTTTGGAAACCTTTAAGTGCAAGCCATAAGTGAAAAAGTAAGATTTCATGTACATCAAAAATTGTCTTGACTTGCTAGGTGTGAATATGCTTTAGTCAAAAGTCAGAAGCAGAAGGGACCTTCAGGGTCAATGTGGAATAGTCTAAAGCCCACAGGAAGTCTACCTTCATGCATGGAGGACCAGACACTGCAAGGGGAGGCCTGGATAAGTTGTATAGCAAACCTGCCACTTCATTTAAGTACCTGAAAGTCTAAAGACAACTGAATGGCACGTTTGAATGGACACTGAGGAACCTATTCATCTAATGTTAACAAACTGAACCTAACCTGGCTTCTAATCCCTACACAGTTGGGGCAGACACTTTTTTTTTAAACATCAACTGTGTCAGCTACTCCTACCTGAGTAGGACTTTAATTTCCTTAGGAAATAAAATCTGTTCAGTAAAGCACATCCATGCTTGTAATTTTGAGTCCTAAAGACAAAAAGATGGGTCAGCAAATGGGGTACAAAGAACTAAGGAGACCTACTGCTGTTTACATTTGAGTAGATGGGAAAGATTTAGAATTACATCACTTTCCTTGCCATTTTAAAATCTCTGTTTTCCTGTATCTGTCTACTGGCAGGAAAATCCTTTAAAACCATCTGGAGAATTGTATGCTTGTTTCATTAACAAATTAGGGTAGAATGTATGAATCTGTGTACCCGGAGAAGCCCAGTTGGGAGATGGGGCTTTGGCAGTGGTGAAAGCAAACACATAGGGCATATCTCTGAAATGCTTTGACAGGAAAGTGGATAAACCTAGGATTGGTGTTACCTGAGAAAGTTGAACTACAGGGCTTAGTAAAATCAAAGAACTTAATGCTGAGGAAGCACTGCTAGAAAATTAAGAATTTCTGCTTATGGGAGGTTTTGTGTTTTATTCTTTGACACTAAATGAGATGAATGATTATGACTGTTTTAGAAATTATGTAATTGATTATAAATGCAGTGTTCTGAATCTTTATCACACACACCCCCCCAAACATCCAGATTTGTAAGGGCATATTATATGTATGTCTCCCTTTTATGATGTGGATGGAATCCAGAAAAGATAATTAGAAAAAATAATTTTGGTAAATACTTGTGAGGTATTAAGGTATTAAAGCAGTGAATGCTTTTGATAAAATAAAGGACCATTCTGCAGTATGAATCTTTTTTTTTAATCTTAGTTCCATTGTGGAAATTCAATGGGAAATATATTTCCCCATAAAAACAATAGTAAGTAAATTGGTAGGTAGATGTTTGTGTACTTATCTAGGTTTTTGTGGACCTGTTCTGTGACTGAAACATCTGACCAAACTAAAACATGACCATTTCTATAGGAAAAAATGTGTTTGTTTCCAGCTTGGGACTCCCAGCCAGGCCTTATGAACTATTCCTATGAAAAGGAATATGTAATTTAGCTGTTTAAATTTTGGGAACTCTGTCAATATGTTTTTTAGTATAAATTTTATTTGTGTTTCCATCTACATGTACAGCTATTAAAATATATTAACAAAAACACAAAATAACATGTAATCTGAAACAAAAGGAATGTAAATTACTGTAAATGTTTTTTAACTTATTTTCTGATTGTTAGTCCCACCACCCAAGATGCATATGTACATTAACTTTAGTTTAAGAATATACATTCGTTCTCTTGTGAATTCAGTTTTCTTGAAGGAATGAACACAAATATTAACCAGTTATTATACTCACAATAAATATAACAAGGATTTTTTGAAAAATTTGCTCATCACCAAAGTCTAAGATGGCATGGTAGCATGTATTGATTGACAGCCACATCTGTTTTTATAACTGAAAATGGGGTATTACATTAAAATAATGCAGCAGTATTTTGTGATGTGAGTGACTGAAAGTGTTCTACAAGTAGAGAGGGATCTATTCCACAGATGAGGAAGTGAGCCCAGAGTGATTGTGATATGCCCACCCAGGGTCAAGGTAATAGAAGAATAAAGACTAGAACCAAAGTCTTCTGGCCTAGGCCTCTTGTCTCGATACCTTAAGTTCCATCTCTGCCACTTAACCACTCTGGGATAGAATACTTTTTGCATCTCTTCTGTTTGTTGTGGCAGTCAAATGAGATTAATGTATGTGATTTGTGACCAAAAAATGCTATGTAATCTATGTTTCATATTACAATGTTTTATTAGAATGAACCTTGAATTCTGCTTGAATTTTTTAAAAATTCTTTATTTCAAATACACGGACAGCTGTGGCACAGAAAGAACAGTGATGAAAGGCACAATCGACATAACCTATTACCAGGTTTTCAATTTATAGCAGCAAGATTTCAAACAAAGATCCAACTACCTATAAAAATTCAACAGGTACTCAAAAGGATTACTGCAGATACTGCACAATTGAGTAATGAGGACATTTAAGGGAAACATAGATCAAGGTTTTGAAGAAAAGCCTCTTGCAGAATCTGTCAGGTAAAGATTCTATTGGGAAGATCTCTCCAAATGTTATCTTCTCTTAAAAAAGGAAAAACTTATCCAAATGAAGAACTGAAGTAAGAGATCCACATTTAAATTTTTTTAATTACAAAAAAAAAACCCCAAACAAACAACTGTGTCTAAACAAATAGCATTTTATATCCTTCTAAGGAAAAACTCACGTGCCCAAACAAAGTTATTTGCTGGCAGTGCATCTTACAGTACTGTCACTATCAGCCATTTTTAAAGCTCAGAAAAAGTATTTCCTCAAAAAGTATTTTCACCAAATCTTGGCAAATACTGAGTTTTAAGGGAAAATAAAATGTAATATCAACTCAACTAAAGTATTAATTCTGGCACTGGCTACTAATTTTAACAAGGGCATAACTAGAAAGTGGTAATACTCAAGTACATCAAAAAACATTTCTTTGCAGAAAGCATCCATATTGTTTACACAAACTTTTTAAAAGCAGCTAGTCCCCGTTTAAATAACTTACGAAAGAGGCACTATGCTAGGGCCTGGAATCAAAAGATTAAAAAATATGTAACACTTTCTGCTTTTACAGAGCTTACAATCATTATCAAGAAAATGTTCATAATACTTTGGGAATACTTTACATTGAAATGTTTTTATTTACCTTTCTTAAAACTATGTATTCTCTAAACATTAAGAAGCTAGACAACTTTCTCATAGTGTGATCTAATATAAGACATCCTTCCTTTGAAATGGACCAAAATATCACTGATATATGTGACAAATAAAATCCTACTTCTCAACATGAGTGTATTCTTCTCTCATAGCATTAATGGGCACATGCATGAATACAGCAAAAAAGCACTGGTTAATTGTAGCATTTATCAAATAAATTCAGTCATTTCAAGACCATTTTTTAAAAAGTAACAAATGAAAACTTAAGCTTTTAGGAAAATTGATTGGACTTTTTGAATGGCATTTCTTGCCACATTATTAGTAGTTATTTTCTTTCTTTCCTTTATTTATATATATCTTACTATATGAATCTAGAGGGTATGGCAATATTAAACAAGCACAAAAAAACCCAATTTAACAATCAGTATCATTAGACATATGAAGTAATTAATTATGGTCATTTTGAACGGTTTCCAACATACAAAAATAAAGAAATTAGTACAACCTTTTTATACTGGATTATGAAGACAAATATAAAATAACCAAATATTAGTTCTTCCTCCACGTTCTGCGACATAGTACGAACACTACTTAGTGAAAAAGAAATTTTTACTTACTCCAAATATGAGTGTCTGATTTTAAATTCCAAAAGGGGTCTTAATTAGTAGTCTTAATTAATTAATGATTCCTATACCCTCTAAGAACTTAATCACATAGTATCCTTTCCAGAAAGAAAGATATAGTGTATTTTTTTACCTGTCACTCTTAATTAACAAAAATTCTGGGATCCTGTAACTATACTGTGGCTCCAGCACTTAATTAGGATGTGCTAATAATTCACCTGCAACCTCTGGTTACTGATCTCCCAATTAAGCCTATATGATGTTTGTGGGAGAGAATGTACAGCATAAAGCTTTAGGGATATGATTGCTAACATATCCACATGTCTCTGAATATCCAACATGACAGCTTCCCTTTTTTGTTTCACTTTTATAATAGTTTTTCTTAAAACTGTTGTTTCTGAGTGACCAATCTTTCTTAGTAATCTTATGGTAGATGTTGGTATCAAAACAGCTTTCATCTTGAAAGCTGTAGATTTTTAAATCCTGTAACGCAACCTTCAAAGTTTTGTTACTTTACAGAAAAATCCAATTCCTTCCAAAACCAAACACTTTATGGGGAGCTTTTTTTATTCTGAAATACATTTAATATAATGTTCTAATAGCTTTCGCCATTGGATAATCCTCAGATACAATTTATATCTACACGTATGTGGTCATGAGCTTTGACCTTGAGTTATCAATGCAACTAAAATGTTCATGTTAGCACACTTCAAGTATCTAAATGTTTTCTGACTAATGTGAAAGCATACTTCACAAAAGTAGGACTTGTTCTGAACATAAAACTAAATATACCATTACTCAACATTAACAAAAGTAGGTGTGAGATATGATAAACTTACATGCACCTATTCTTAAAAATCCATGTTATCTTCCCTTCAAGATATCTCTTATTACAACACAGTTCTGCCTTTTATACTTTAAAACCTAACCTCATTCTGAAGAACTAAGTTGTAATTCTTTTACAAGGATCTTTGTGCCATGCTGGAGCCCTTAATTTGTGAGGGTGTTTGACCTGTACTAGAAATAGAAGAAACAGTGAACAAACCAACCGACAAGTATTTATTGAGCACCTTTGTACCTAGTGCTGTGCTAGGCCTTGTGGGGTATGCAGGAAGAAATTAGGGATAAGGATCTGGGACTGGAACCAATAATTTCATTGGTATAGAGAGCCCCAAGATGAGAAAACTCCCTCTACCCCTGCAGATCTGCACTTTCACTGCCTAAAGCTCAAGGGGTTAAGTGACTACATGCTACCTTGTACCGAGAGAAGGTGGTAGAAGAAGAACAGAGGCAGAAAAGGGAGAAAGAGGAAGAGAAAATGATTCATGAAAGAGAAAAGGTGTGTAAGAGATAAAGAGAAGCTCTCCAAGAGCTGAAAATGTGGTTGAGAAAACAACTACAATGATGGCAGGAGCTTAAAACTTCTGACATAAATATAAAAGTATGTGGCATCATATAACTAATAGGAATTCAGAAAAGGAATTGCTAAAGACTTCAGGGAGAAGGAAGGGAGATCTGAGCTGTGATTTAACCAATAAGGATCCCCGGAAAGGGGGATGGGGTAAGACCACCAGGCTGACTGAAATGAATTTTAAAATGGCAAGGTGCAATAGCAACTATATAAGTTTCTCAATACTCTCAATTAAGTTCCCCAGTCTTGTCCCAGAGTAGTTTATTTAATAATTCAGCTGATGGAGGCTGCATTTGAGGGGCTCTTGGCACTTGGAATGATTCTATTAACTGCTGTAACAGCCAATTAAGAAGATTCCTCATATGCCCAGAAACGGCTAAAAATTTTTTCTTCCTTTTCAGATCATCTGCTTTAGGAATTTTGGCCAAACTGACTCAGAAATAACTAAACTCAAAGGCGAAGTTTAAATTGAACTTGGACATTAGCATCTTTAAAAAAAATAAAATCAGAAAAATTATTTTTTGGCAAGAAAACCAACATGAAATGAATCAAAATATTTGCATCTTGCATCATCCTTAGACTTTTAGCTTCTTTAATAAAAGGAAAAGCTTTACAAAGATAATTTCTGAAGTTGATTAAAAAACAAAAACCTACACTAGTACTTGGAATTACATGTAAATCAATTATGCAACTGTATTTCTTGGACACTAGGTTTATAACTTTAAAATGCAAATTACATCAGTGGAGAAATGCAATATGGCTGCAACAGTACCTTTCACTAAAAATCTGTCACATCATTTGTCTTTAAATTTGTAAATACATTTCCTAGAAAAAAAGCTGATACAAGCATTACCAAAAAATTTGTCCCAACTTACAAAACATGAATGTATATATCCAGGTAATAATTTAACGAAAGGAATATTGAGTTGATTACAAAGATCAAAAAGAAAATACAATTTGTTTCAATGCATAACAGGGAAACATCAAGCCTGTTATTTCTAATGAATCACATTTGTATGCTAAAATTTGTCAAACTGTTTTGTATATGGCCATACCCCGTACACAGTACAGTGTTACAGCCCACAAAGAAACTGATCTTCAAAGCAAGGGGATTTAAGGAATGATGATACCTTTGAAAATACACTATTTCAGATCCTTTAGGATACAAAAGTACTTCATTTAGGAAATCCATCTGGAATTATTTATACTGGCAGTACATTTGAAAAGACGTTACCATTTGAAATGTTTTCATTTTCAAAGAAAAATACATAAAACTTAAAAAAGCAAGGTGTACTCTGTTTTTAAAAAGTAATTCAAAGTTTATGCACCAAAATATTTACTCCTCAAATAATTTCAATAAATTAACTTAATGGTTTTCTGTATATTTATATTTATACATATATATCCCTGATAATCTATAAAAGGGGGTTTGCAATAGTAAAATAAATGAAATCCAAAAGTACCCCCTTCATAAAAGTATTTAACATTCTTCTTATATTGAAGGAATGTAACAATATGTACACCTCTTATGTATTAGGAAAATACCAAAATAACACAAGACAATACTAACACAATGTGACTGTAAAATGTACAAATGATGTTCAAATAAAGGACTTGGGCTTCATGTGAATATTATGGATGGGAGAATTAATTTTCTGAATTGATCTGACAAAAGGGCTTAATACAATTTTATCTATAGTAGATTTCACAAGAGGTAGTGTTCAAGTGAAATACAAAAGAGAACAGAAACATGCTTCATTGTCTTGAATTTGTTCTAACATTTTTTTTTCCTTAAAGAACAATCTTACAGGGAATCAATTTCAGAGCTGAAAAGTCCCTTTGAGACTGTTTGTCTGAAATGATCTTGACTTCCTAAGAGAACTTGGTCAGTTTGGAACCTTTTTAATATGAATCTGAAATAGAAAATTTTAAGTTAATTTGTAAAAGCAACAAATTCTAAATTCTTTAAATAAGTACAATACCAAAGTCTTAAGGTAAAAGGAGTCTGAAATCTTTTTTAAAAAATGCAACACTCCCACTGATTTCATTAACTTGAAGAAGTATCTCACCTCATTAAGAACAGCCCAAACTGCAGAATTCTGTATGACTGAAAGACGGAAGGCTGAAATGGGGTTTAGATGGGGATCCACCATCCCTTCTGCCACACCACCTTCAAATTTTCCTTCAAAATAAAAAGTATCACCAGTGAGTAGACTATGATGAACTGAAACACCAAATAGGACTGAAAATTTACCTGAATGGATGGGTTTATTATCATGCCAACAAAATTAAGACTTACATAAATTTGCCTCTAACCTTTAAACTAAATTGCCTAAGTACCCAATGCTAATCTACCAGAGTTTTAACTTTACATCTGAAATTTTTACCAGCAAGCAAAATCCCAAACAAAATAAAAATTATAACCAATGTAGCATTCACAAATAAGCACAGCCCTATAGGTTTTTTAAGTGCCTGAATCCTGATTATTCTGTTTTAAGTTAATAATGAAAGTACTGCCCCAAAGGAAGTTATAGTTCAAGAATAAATCCACATAATCAATAAACATTTTTTAGATACCTGCTATGTGCCTGTTGGGAATAAAAACACAAAAGTTGACAGTATTTGCACTCAAAAGTTTACATAAGAAAATGAGCTTTTACTAATTAAAGGTATATGTTACCTATTCTGACATAACCATCTTCTAATTGATTATCTTTGGTTTCTTTGCTTATTTCCAACTCTTCACCCTAAAACAAATATTTATTATGAAAATAATTACTTATGCAAAAGAAAACCAGAGTACTCATTGCCATATACTAAAAATACATAAAGCTCCCCCATGTTAAAAAAAAAAAAGGCTGCATTAAATGGATTTGATCTTTATGACGCTTTTAAAAAAAACTAGCCCAAACCTAAAAACAACAAAAAAAAACCCTTCCGAATATGCATAATTAATTTGGAACATAGAAATTTTAAAGTGATGATAATGCTTTTATAATGAATTAATAGGTAGAAAAGGGTCATGGCTTTCTATACTTAACACTATGCTACATGCAAGAGATACAAATACATCTGTGAAGACAGTGCCTGCCCACAGGGAGAGGCGCAAGGAACACTGGCCTAGGACATATATTTTTGTAAAGATCAGGAAGGACTAGGGCTGAGAAAAACGCTACCAAAGCAATGAAGAGGTCACTAGTAACTTCTGAGAAAGCAGTTTCAGGCCATACTGCAAGAGGTTGAGAATTGAGAAAACTGTAAGAAGTAGTAGTGCAGGCTCTGTGATAGCTTGAGTAAATAACCTGGATGAGAAGTTTTTGTTTATTTTTAGGAGAGATGAAACTTAACGTGTTAGCTGATACCAAGAGACTGATCTAGGGATAGTATTGAGGACAAAGTTATAGCAATTAGCCTTGGCAAGAAGAAGGGCTATCTCATCATCTGAGCATAGAACAAAGGAGGAAAAAATAGAGTGAAGGGGTGGAAAAGCAGAGTTAAAGGAGAACTTGGAATGGCTGGTGTTGATCCTAAATGAGTAGAGCAGGAGGCATTTGAGGCCCTAGGGAGTAGGATAAGCAGAGCAGTTGTCAGAGATGGAACAAAAGGAACGCCAGGCATGAGCACGAGCCCAGCTGAGGTCAGATAACATGAATTTATAATGGCCCCAAATTACATTTTGTGACTTTTCCAGCAGTGTTCTGCTGAAGTCGATAAGGTAGATGTTGGGAATGACCCAAAAGTGAGAATTAGAGCACGAACAATGTAAGGATAAGGGGTTAAGAGAGATTCAGGGTTAGAGGACAAAATCTTATTGAACTGAACAAGTACTGGTTTCAGACTGTGGAGAGATCAAAACAGGTGTTATGGACTGGAAAAACAAGAAGAGAGTGAAGAACCACAGATTATGGTGAGGTCAAAGAACTGGTTTAAAAGGAATGAGAAAAAAGGACAAATGGAAGGGCAGGAAATTGTGATCTGAGAGGCAAACTTCAAAGTTCAAAGTACTGGAAGTAGAACAATTTTGATTGGTAGTAAATTTAAGATGGGAATCTAGGAGCAGAGGTGGAGGCCAAAGTGTTGGAAGGGCCACAGATGTGAATGATGAAGACACAAATCACAATCATAACAAAAGTGACTGATATAGTTTGATGGTACAAACTTCAAAGGAGAGGGTGATAAATGACTGGCAAAGAGTGAGGGTCTGGAAAGGGCAAATGAGAGAACCAGGAGAATGGCCCAGTGTGCCAGGGGTTTAAGAAAAAGATCATCTGGCACAAAAAGGTGGAAAAAAAGACAAGAAGTCCAGGGTTCTAAAGATGCTTCTACTATGAATGTCTCAAGTGGGAGCCCCCTTAGTTAACTGCAGGAGGGAGAGCCAAGACATGTGTTGCCCTTTCCCTACCCAAGTACCTGAGGTGAAGGAGGCTTCTGCTGACAGTGCCTCCCAAATGGAACCCTCTATGATGACTGCGGAAGGAGGAGGGAGAAGGGGTGAGGACACAGGTCACTTTATCATGTGTAACAATCATTAAAACTACATGCAACTAGTCTAGCAGCAATAGGGAAATTAAAACAAAAAGGAATACCCATTCTAATTTTATGGGAAGTTCCAGACTCCTTTCTTTTGAGCAAAACTTAGGCCCTTTATCTTTCACAAATGAGGAAAAAGACCTACTCTATTTTACAAGGTCAACAACAATGATCATCACTGAGATTTTCAATCAAAAGAAACAACTTGTTTTATTTTCTAATAGTCTCCTATGAATCAACTCTCTTCTATTATTTTTGGTTCTTAAGGAAGTCTGAATGAAAAAAAAGTCATCATACCTTAAAAGGCAAAACTTCCACAGTTGTATTTATCAGTATATCTCCTGGATGCTCTGGATTGCCACTCTGGAACAAGTAGCTATTAAAAAAAAGTAAATAATGTTGCATATGATAGTATTTTGGGATATACTAGGGATTACAAAAGGATAACTAATAAAGATTTTAGGAAAGAACTAAGCTGTCATGTGAGTAATAATATCATATACAAGTGATTGATAAACTGCAAATTACATATTTTAATTATTTCACGATACATAGCTAAGACCTTAGGGCAACATTTTAATAATTCCTGTCACTGAAAAGGAAAATGTTTACTAATTAATATAAAAGCAAACCTGCAGATTTTATGTTAAATAACTTTCATAAGAGTAAAGCTTGGGGAGTTTCAGGGTTTTGGAGTAACTTAAAAAATACAGACATGGAGCAGCTAGGTGGCATAGTAGATGAGCTCCAGCCATGGAGTCAGGAGAACCTACGTTCAAATCCGGCCTCAGACACTTACTAGCTATGTGACCCTGAGCAAGTCACTTAACTCCACTGCCTAGCAAAAAAGAAAAAAAAAATACAGACATGTATTAACAAGGGAAGTAAAGAAGCTGATGGCAGTAACACTACGAAGTCTTACTCAACATGAATATTTCACATCTGACACCTGGTCAGAGCACTTTCAAGGTTGGTTTTATATAAGTCAATTAATATTAGTACTAAATGAAGTAAAATGGAATTGAATTCATCTCTTCCAACAGTTTGAAAAATTGTAGGCCACTGTACTAAGTCAGCCCTAGAGCCTGTTTAGCTGACCTTATAACTGAAGTAATAAACCCATTCATTTGAGCACTTTATATGTATGTTTTATTTAATGTATGGGTTCACATTCCTAGGGTCTCTTATCTCACATATATTTGGAATATATTCCATAACAAAACAAGAAGTTTGGAGTGTAATATCAGATACCAATAATTACTAACCTTTCCACATCAACTGGCTTATCAAATTTAAATAATATGTAGTCCCCAGCAATTGGGGTAACAGCCCAGAAGAAATCCTCTCCCATGTAAGTTTTTTCCAATGTGTGTCCTTGGTAGACCTTCAGAGAAGTAGACACTTCTGCAGGTGGGTTTACATGCATTGTGTGAAGTAATGGCTTCAGAAAATCTTTATCCTAATAATAAATTTTTAAAAGAAAAATACAGTATGCAATTATGTCTACTAAGAGGAAAAGAATGAACTCACATGCATACATAAATATAAAGAAATCACACACACAGATATAGTGAAATTAAATCACTCACTGTGAGTTTCTGAATTTTTCCTTCTAGTGATGAATGCAAACCAACATGCTGGAAAAGGGAAGGCCTGAATCGAATTCGTAGATTTGATTTTTGCCTATCACAATGTTTCTCAAAAGAAAAAAAATTTATGTTAGTATACTTGATAGTGATAGTGTGAACTCTTAGTCATCTGAATAATGGAAAGCCTTTCAGAATATCTAAAATAAAATACAGTAACTTTCATAATTTCATGTTAAACATTTTTCTGAATATCAAAGCATTCCTAGATTTGCTACTTACTTGGTAAATATATCCAATTTTCTAAAAGAAATGTTAACAAAAAGAGCATGTTGAAAGCTACTTTTAATTTTTATCATATTTCAAAAGACATGAGATTTTGTTTTTAATATTATTGTAATTATAAGTATTATGTAAAGTTTCACTTCAAAAACAATTACAAATATCATTTTCAAAACAATAACAAAGAATGTGAAAACCAAAAAAAGCAGCTTTGAGTTATTATACCAATCACTGACACACTACAGCCAAGAAATGAACTTCAATAGAATAAAGAAGACTAAAAAGCTCATGGTCACTGTCATTCCCTTAGGTAAGTAGAAGGTATTACTGACCCAAACTTCCAATGTAGTTAGATAAGACCAGTGTTTTAACAGTGCTCTAAGCTGAACCATAGCCACAAATGCTAAAATACTGACCAAGAAACTCTCATGGTGTTAAGCAGGCATAGTTTTATCCTATTACGGTAGGAGTTCTTAAATTTTTTTATATGATGGACACTCTGACAGGCTAACAAAACCTATGCTCTCCTCAGAATTTTTAATATTTTTTCCATAAATATTTTATTATAAACATATTTATATGAATAAATATTATTTTTAATAAGTTTTTTAAATGTAGAGAACAAAATACACAGGATTACAAATGAAACTCATACTGAAATCGTTTTCAAAACACATACACTTTTTTTAATTCACAGAACCTAGTTTAAGAACTCCTGCACTATGGAGATACAGCATAATTAACCTCATACTCCTTGACTGATGGTGACTGGAGAAATAGGACTTGGAACACAAATGGAAAAATAACATAGAATAAGACCTCAGATTCCAGACCTCCTAGAGAGAAAGTATCCCTCAGCTAAGGTAATAACCAATTATTTTGTACACTTCTTTTCCTCTGTCATCCTCATTCTACACACTACCACCTCCACCACTACCCCTTAAACCCAGATGATTTTTGTATTACACTATTATTTTTAAATTATTGAAATTACAAATAAGTTATTTAGTAACTTATTCAAATAAATTATTCAATAAGTATTCTTTGCAAAACTTTATAATTAAAAAGAAATATGGGCTTTGAGGGTACATTTTACATAAATCATGTTTTCATGGGATTTCATGTCCAATGCATCTCCTGATTTCTGAACAAGAGGAAGAGACACCTGAACTATGCAAAAAAGGAGAGGCAAGAGGTTAGACTCGATTGGACCATTTTTTCTTTAAAGATACCAGATAGACATAGAACAATTACTTAGACCAATTTATCTCAGTTTCTTTATGTATCACCAGTAGTATTTCTATCTCTAACTAAATAGCACAGGGTGCTCCTGTCTCTGAGATTTCAATAAGCAGAAATAGCAAACGTTTTTCTCACTGGGATAATGGAAAAAACTGCTTGTGAAGCAAACAAATATATAATTTAGGGTTAGGACTTAACAAGTAGTGACTCTATAATTGTTGGCATGTGAAATAGAATGGTGCAATGTAAAGAGTACTGACTGGGAATCAGAAAACACAAGTTTTGGTCCTTTCTTCTCTAACAGCTGTTGTGACCTTGGGTACTATCACTTAATCTCTCTGGGTGTCAGTTTTCTAATCTGTAAAATGAAGGGAATTGGATTAAGGTTCCTTCAAACCCTAACAGTGTATCGGTCTACATTTTTTAAAAAATTAAAACTGCATTCTCTTAGAGATTCCCTATCTGTAGTATGTGTACCCCTAGAAAGTATAAGAAACTTGTCAAAGTAGTACAGGGAATATTTGGCAAATAACTATATTATCCTATTGAAATTAAGTGATTTTTTATTTCTTATATGCACAAACATGGTAAACTATAGAAATTACTTCCTTCCATATTGAATAGGGAGTATGAAATGGTTGACTGAAAAACAAGGGGTATAAAGACCAAACAAAAATTGGAAACTGCTGTACCATGTACATCCTGTCTTTAAAGGACCTAATGATGTTGGAAAGGGAAAGGGAAAAAGAAAGAAATAAGAGGCCACACTGACACCTTATGACCCCTAGAGGGAAGTGTACAGAAAAGGGTTTTTGACAAGTAAAGCAAATTTCCTGGATCTTTACTAAATGACAAAATTTAAAAAAAAAACCTTTCAAAAGCCCCTATATGCAAATGCAGTTTTATCTACTTCAATTCCAATCTATCCTATGGGTTCAAACAGGGACTCCATGCAGTCTTTATTAATAAGCAAGCCTAAGTTTTCATATATCACATTTCTAAACCAGTAAAAAATCCTTAAATAAAATACATTACAGAACAAGTCGTTATTTTATGAGAAATTAACTTACTGCATCTTTTTCAGGATTGCAGACTTTCACCCAAAGTATATGGTCTAAAAGCCAATCAATAGGTTTCTCCTTGTAAAACATAAATATGAACTCTACAATCAAAGTGATGTCTGACGCTTGAAACATTTTACCTAAAAAGATATTCCAAGTAAACAATAAGTTAATGAAATATAGAGCTTTGTTGTAGAACCCCTTAAAAAAATCCCTTAAACCTTTGTGTCATGTCCCTTTGGCTGTCTAGTAAAGCCTAAGGCCTTCTTTGCAGAAAAAATGTTTTTAAGTTCACAAAATAAAATACATAGGATCACAAAGGGAAGGAAACAAGCATTTAAAAAAAAAAATTTCTTTTTGGTGAGGCAAGCAGGGTTAAGTCACTTGCCCAGGGTCACACAGCTAGAAAGTGTTATGTGTCTGAGGCTGCATTTGAACTCAGGTACTCCTGACTCCAAGGCCGGAGCTCTATCCACTGTACCACCTAGCTGCCCCGAAACAAACATTTATTAAGCACCTCCATGTCTTGCACTGTGCTGAGTGCTTTACAAATATTACCTCATTTGACCAAGGAGGTCAATTATATTGAAATAGTTATCAAAATAATTTTTAAAACAAGTTCACAGACCCTAAATTAAGAACTTTGGCCTTAAACTCAACTGCCAGAATTCATTTCACAGGGTCTGATTTGTGGCTTCTATTACCATTCTTATTCTACACATAAAGATGTTTGTCTTTTGGCATTTTGTAACTCCAGGGCTAGCCGCCTTCACTGGGGAATGTAAATGAGTTGATATTACTTGCTAAAAATATATATACACTCATCTACACATTTATACATAGCTACGGCAGAGAAGGTACTGACCAGCACTGGTGGAAGATGTTTCCCTATTTAGAGTTCTCTTTACCCATGCAATCATAGGTCTAATGTCTGTCTCTATTGTAATAATGAAAGGCCTTTCTCTTTGTTAAGGATTTCGTATTCAGGAAGTTGATTTCCCCTCCCCTACAGAATCTGAATTAGCTTTCATAAGTAGAATCACAAGAGAAAACTGACAAATTTCTCCATTAGAAGCCTCCAGTCCTTTCTTGAGAGTACCCAAAGCTATCCTTCTGACATTACTACCTATGTAGTCATGTTTATTACCTTCTTTTGTTTTCTCCCCTGAAAGCAGTTGAGAAGGTTATCAATTATAACTTTTTCAATAAGTGTCCATATGAGCCATAGTAGTCCCATAGCCTCTGTGATAATGGGTTATACCTCTGCATATATCCCTCCCCAACTCAGCCAACGTTAAGTAAATGAGGAAACTATAATGTCATATTCTCATGCCCCTCAACCAACTGCTGAACTCAAAGCTCGAAGTGGAAAGAAGAGAACACCTGGCTCCTCACCAATCACCACCACAGAACTCCCCAAAAGAGGGAGCATCTATACTACATACTACAGATGAAACTTTTCCTATACAAAAGGTAAAATTATCTCGGAGGAGCTGTAACACCATCACCCCAATCTGAATGCCAATTTGGATGACTACTTCTCCCACCTATCTCCAGCCAAGAAGTCCTTTAAAAAAAGGATCGCATAAAAAGTAAAAGGACTGTATAAGAAGTCCTTTTTTAAAAAATCTCCTTCAAAGAACTAATTTAGGTTTATGAGCATTGACCTTTTCTAGTCTCTGGATTATACCTTACTAACTCATTTGGAAAGGTTATTTGCCACCAAAATTGGGGATTTCTATAAGCAAAAGAAATGCTTAAGTCTTCTTATTTTAAAGAGATCCTGAAACTTGAAGACAGCCCTAATTCCAATTATTACAAGAAGTTGTTCTGATTTAGGTTTAAACAACTAGTGCTAAGTCTGTGTTTTCTAGTACAAAGTTATAATCTACAATTTCTATATTTGTATTATTTTTCCATTGTTTTATGAGAGGAAATTGCATGAACTAAATAATGACCTCCGCTAAAACCAAGCAAACATCTCAAGTACTAAGCTTCATTTCAGGCCCATATCCACATAGCAAAGCCTGCTGCAGTGAGAAAGACACAGCAAAGCAGACAACATTCTTCTGATCACACAGAGACACACCGATTGTTACACAGAATCAAGGTTGCAAAATCCTTTCCTTATATTATCTCATTTGGTCCTTAAAATAATTCTGTGAGGTATGTACTACTACACACCGATTGTTACACAGAACCAAGGTTGCAAAATCCTTTCCTTATATTATCTCATTTGGTCCTTAAAATAATTCTGTGAGGTATGTACTACTATTAAGCCTTTCACATACACTGCCTTTTTTGATTCTCACAAAACTCTCGTGAAGCAGATGCTATTATGCCCAATTTACAGATAAGAAACTAAGGCTCAGAGAGGTTAACTACTAGCCCAGTGTCTCAAAGACAGTGACTGAAGTGAGATCTGATGTCGAATTTTCTTGCCTCCAAATACAGATTTCTATCTACTAAACCACACTGTCTTCCTAGCACCTACCACAAAGTTTTTTTGGGTTTAATAAACGATTATTTAATTGAACTCTATTATCACAATGAAGGAACATAAATGGTTTAAGTAAAAAATCAAAATTAGAACTGTATAACTATAAAACACATGCTGGATCTGGCACATGTTTCTATCTCCATAAAAGGGGATATGTTTTAGGAACTTTACACTATTTCAGATTTCTTTTATGATCTGTAAGCATTTGAGTACTAAATGAATACCACGGCGAAGTAAGAGACCCTTACTTTAAAATGCTTTAAGAACTGGAAATTATAGTCTTCTAAATTTTATATTTAAATGTGTGTCTCAACACTTCAGTTTTTAAACATGTCTTTTTAATTGCCTTAGGGCAAGAATATCATAAATCAGGGATTTCCATTCATTTACCTTAAGAAATAATGTTCCAAAACCATTTTTTAATGTGTACTACAAGTACCACAAATGTCCATAAGGGACAGAGCAATTTACTGGGAATCCGGAAGACCTGGGCTTGAAACCCTGACTCAGAAACTTAATGTATAAACCTGGGAAGTTCCTTATGCTCTGAGATTCAATTTTCTCATCTGCAAAATGAAAGGGCTGGACTTTATGTCCTCTAAGATCCCTTCCTAGTCTGAACATATGATCTTATAATCTTGTGGCACTCTTAATTAACATTGTTTTTCTTATTTGAGACTCTGCTATAGAAACACAATTGTAAAAGGATTCTTTAACTTAATTATGCCATTACTTCTCTGTCTTTAACACTCTACAAACTATGCAATTTTCCTTTCACATGAAAAATAAATTTATTTTCCCATGTTCAATAAAAGATGAGCTTTAAGGTAAAATTATAATTAAATATTCTGAGAAAACTAACACTGTTTGAAAAATTAATAAACTTTTATTTTTCTCACCAATGAATCCAAGCTGGGAAAACTCCAAAATCATCCAGTCTTCAGAAGAGACCTGAAGTGCAAAATTCTTTATTGTACTGAAGTAATTCTGCTTAACAACAATATCATCTTCAAGCTAAGGAAAATGGAATAATTATATTAACAATAAGAAAGTGTGGCCTGGAATTCAATTTAGCAACTATCAAAGAAATGTTTGGTTTAAAAATCTAAGGCCAATATGAAATAAGAATAATATAAAAGAAAATAAGAAAAAAAGGGAACAAAACTTATCATGACTCCATCCATGTCTCCATCACATAAAAATAATGGAATAATAATGAATTATTACTTTAGTGGGACAGCTTTTGAGGGAAGGGGCAACTTTTCCCAATGTTTTCGTATAAGGAAGCTTTTAAACCAGCCTTTCAAAAACAATTCCTTCATTCAGAAATCTAAAATGTTCAAAGATTTCATAGCAGATGAAACACTTCAATTCCTTAATTTCATTTAGGTGGGTTCAGAAATCCTAACAAATCACAAATTTATTTTATTAATCATGCAAATTTTAATCAAAACACAGAAGAACATAGTATGTCCTTCCACCAGGTGGCAGCAAGGGCTAATGTTAACCAGCCCTACCAATGTTTTTTGTTTTCTGTCACCTTTGGCCCAGACAAAGGAAGGGGGAAAGTAATTGTCTTATCTCTTCTCACCAGGCTAGAATTGACAATATAATTTTTTGGTGTTTTAACTTCATTTAATGGCAGTGCCTCGCTTCTATCCTCTTTTAATCTCAGTTTTCTTCATTTTTTATCTTTTTACTCTCCCTTTCTTGCAAGTATTATGAAATTCCATTAACTCACATAAGCCTTCAATCTCTTGGAGAGAAAGCACTACAGAAATTGAAATATAAGTAAATGAACCTTCTTAACCTTTAAGAGAAAATTCTCTAGTCAAGTTTAAAAAGCTTCCAAACATCTATAATTGTTATAACCCAAATACTGTTGTACACTGTCAGCAGGATAAAGAATAAGATTCAGATATAATATTTGCATGATGCTAAAATAAAATGTCTTATTGAGAATATCAAATAAATCCTTCGAGCTCTTCAGAGAAGAGCTATGTTTAAATCTTAAGTATTTTATGATTACATATGTATTATACTTCCATTATACGTAATTATAGTGACTTTGAACAAATTCTACAATCTGTAACTCATTAAGGTTTTATGGATAATAGAATTTTACACTAAGAACCTCAGAGATCACCCCAGTCTAACCCCTAACTAGAGCAGGAATCTTCTCTACACAACACCATTAACAAGATCAACTTCTACTTGAATACTTCTAAGAGGTGGGGAACTCACTAATTTAATTTTATTCAATATTCACCAAGAGAACAAAGACAGCCCTAAAAGGCAGCCAAACTCTCACTAGTTGTAATGACTAATCTTGGGCACAGAAAAGAGATAAAGAGACACACTTTCCTCCCTGGTAGAGAGGTAAGGGAACTACAGATGTGAAATGCTATTAAGGTACCACAGTTAAATTGGTTGATTTTGCTTAACCATTTTAGCTCTTATGCAGTTAAGAGCATTCTACTCCTTCCATCTGATATGGCTTCCTAAACCCATTAGCCCCCCAAGCTTATGTGAATGGTAGTAGACAAAGGGGGTAAGATCTGTGAAGGCTAGAAAGGGACTTGAAGGGACCAAAGGCCAAACATCCACGGCCATGACTGGCCCTCTGGGGCTCCTGCCATTAGATTCAGGACAGGCAATGCCACATAAGCATTAGCCTCTGGAGCACTGTATCTGCACCCCATTTCCACTGCTTGGTTGCTAGGAAAGACCCAAAGTCTTCTCAAGTTCCAGATCCTGAGGAGAGACCTGAAAGCCTGCATTCTGTTGTTCAGTTTGCACAGCTGCTACCATCAGAATCATCACAGGCTTCTCACCCTGAGTTCTAACTACAGGATAGTCAGTTAAGTACATGAGTTCTCTTAGCTTTCATGGGGAGAGCGGAACCCTAAAAATAGGACACTGAACTTTCTGGGTTAATCCTCATTCCTAGGCTGAGAGGAGAGAAAGAGGAAGAGATAAGGGGGCGGGGAAGAGAGAAGAGGCGAGATCAATGAAAGGGCGGGGAAAGGGAGAGAGGTGAACTCCAGCCTAGAAATAGCTTTTGTCTTCAGTAGGGGATGGATATGAGAATGGATCAATTTATTTTCCATAATACTTAAAAAAAAAAAACAAACCAACGAGCATATGTGCTAAGTAAGCACTATGCTAAGCACTAGATATATATTAAAAAAACCAAGCCTAATGAAGTGAGACAACACAGACACATGACATAAATTAATACATAAAAGCAAAATACTGGGTGGATGGAAAGTAGCCTTTGAGGAAAGGGAGCTGGCAGGGGCAGGGGCTGGAAAAGGGTTCCTAGAGGAAGTAGAGCTTGATCTCAACAGTTTTTTTGTGTGTGTTTTGTTTTATTTTTTAATTTAAAGAAATGAATCTATCTCATCCACACTGAAGTGCTAGTAATATTCACAGGCCCAATCCCACTCATGATCTGCACAGCAGTTTTGACCTGCTCCAATGCCAACCAGGGCTGATTCACCTTAGGCAACCTGGGGGCCGCGAGTATTGATGCCAGATTTAGTGCAGACACCCAATAATCAGCATAGCCCCCCTTCAGCTCAGACCTCCCAAACTCAAGAGTCAAGAGGTCCAACAGCCCCAGACTCCCCAGAGGCTCAGATTACAGGCGTGCACCACCAAGTCTGGCTTTGGAGCTCAGGGGGTTTTTTTTAAGTTAATTTTTTTAATGAATAAAAATCTATTTTCTCTCTCTCCCACCAACTATACCATCAAAAGGAAAACTAAATTTGTTGTAACAAATATGGATAGCTAAGCAAAGAAAAAAAATCCCTCACTATGTTAAAAAAAAAGTCTTATACTATGAATCTATCACTTATCAATAAGTGGATAATCAAACTTCACTGGAATCATGGTAATTTGTGTCTTCAAAATTAAATATTTTTATGTTGATGTTATTGTACATGTAAGTGACGCTTCTATTTTTATTATCTTTTATCTAGTCCAGTTAAGCTGCTTACAAAAATGCTGGTTCTGCCACAGTACAGGATCTCTTTCTTGGAGCCCCACCCCCTCCCACCCCAAACTTAACCTTCCCCCAAGACTGTCTTCTATTTAAACTGCATCCGATACGTACATAGGTATTTGCATGTTTTCTCCCTCAACTGCAAGTGAGCTCCTTGAGGACAGGGCCTTTCTTTGTAGCCTCAGGGATTAGCTCAGGGCCCAGCACATAGTAACTGATTAATATACATTTGCTGACTGACTGGTTGAAGCTATTAAAGAAAAGAAAGGAGGGATGTAGGAGTGATGACTGATGGACATATACCTACTCCTAGAATAATGTCAAAATACAGAGTAATTAGGCTAATGCATAGGGCAGGTACAATAAGTGAATGAAAACCAGCTCCCTTGAGTAACCTGACTGAGAGAAACAACCAACAAGGCTAATATCCATTATAGCCCTTTGCAGATGCAAACAACAGGAAATGATTGTTATTTTTTTAAAAAAAGCATTAATACAATTTTAAAACAAAGCAAAATATACTTATTAAGTTTCCCTCATGTTCAAGGTACTGTTAGATGCAAAGATAAAAATGAAATAATTCTTTTCTCAAAGATATTACCTTACACTAAAGGGCTATGTATAACATGTACATAGATAAGTAAATGAAATATAATTTGAGGAGATAGCAGTAATAGGTGGAGGGATCAGAAAAGGTCTTGAGTAGCAGGTAGCAAGGAATGTTACCTTAACCTTAATGCTACCTTAAGGCAGCCCACTCCATTTTTTCCCCCACTTAATATTTTATTTTTTCCAATTACATGTAAAGACAGCTTTCGACATTCACTTCCGTAAGATTTTGAGTTCCAAATTTTTTCTCCCTCTCTTCCTTCCTTCTCTCCTCCCCAAGTCGACATGTAATCTGATATTGGCTATACATATACAATCATATTAAACATATTTCCACATTGGTCATGTTGTGAAAGAAGACTCAGAACAAAAGGGAAAAACCACGAGAAAGAAAAAAAAGGAGAGAAAATAATATGCTTTTGATCTGCATTCAGACTCCATAGTTCTTTCTCTGGATGTGGACAGCATTTTCCATCATGAGTCTTTCGGAATTGTTTTAAATTACTGTATTGCTGAGAAGAGCTTATTCTATCAAAGTTATTCTTTACACAATATTGCTGTTACTGTGTACAATGTTCTCCTGGTTCTGATCACTTCACTCAGCATCAATTCATGTAAGTCTAGGTGTTTTCTGCAATCTGCCTGCTCATCATTTCTTAGAGCATAATAGTATTCCATTACATTCCTATACCACAACTTGTTCAGCCATTCCCCAACTGATGGGCATCTTCTCAATTTTCAATCCTTGACCAGCACAAAAAAGATAAATATTTTTCTACATGAGGGTCCTTTTCCCTTTTTTATGCTCTCTTTGGGATACAAACCTAATAGTGGTATTGCTGGATCAAAGGGTATGCACAGTTTTATAGCCCTTTGGGTATAGTTTCAAATTGCTCTCCAGAATGGTTGGATCAGTTCACAACTCCACCAAGAATGTACTAGTGTTCCAATTTTCCCACATCTTCTCCAACATTTATCATTTTCCTGATTTGTCATATTAGCCAATCTGATAGGTGTGAGATGATACCTCAAGAGTTGTTTTAATTTGCATTTTTCTAATCAATAGTGCTTTAGAGCATTTTTTTAATATGACTATAGATAGCTTTAATTTCTTCATCTGAAAACTGCTTGTTCATATCCTTTGACCATTTAGCAATTGGGGAATGACTTGTACTCTTATAAATTTGACCTAGTTCTCCATATATTTTAGAAACGAGAACTTTATCATAGACACTGACTGTAAAGACTATTTCCCAGCTTTCTGATTTCCTTCTAAAATTGGTTTCATCATCTTTGTTTATGCAAAAACTTTCTAATTTAATCAAAATTATCCATTTTGCATTTCAGAATGTTCATTATCTCTTGTTTAGTCACAAATTCTTCCCTTCTCCATAGATCT